CTCTTAAAAAAAATTCTTTCCTTAATTTTATCAATCCTAAGTGTTTTTGTCCATCCCTACAAAAAAAATTTGTTTTTGCCCACCCTGAAAAAAGAAACTGGATCCGCCCCCTGTCGACTAGTGTCCCTCTTACCTCTATTATCCAACTATGGTCCACTCTACCATAGTTGTCTGCTTACTACTCTGAAATATGTCGCCCACTTGCAGTCCAACCAACCAAATGAACAATTCAACATTCTTATGAGAATAACTCTCATATCACTACATTCTTCCAACTCACACTATGTAATGTGCTATAGATGAAATTGAGCAAAATTCTTCCTCCGAGAAAGGACATTATTTGTAATTTACTACAAACACTAGCATAATCATCTTTACTGGGGAAAGGCCCGTATGTTTTTTTTCACTTTTTCGGGATTTCACGTAAAATTTTTGGTATCTCTTATGACTCTTGTTCCTCTCTCCCACTCTCTCTTATCTATTTATATGTTGCATTTTCGTTCTAAGTTAGGATGCTAAACTCTATATATATCTCTACCACTGCAAATGTTCCAGGATGCAATAGTTCTCTTATTCAAAGTTTTTATAATACTAATGGGTTGTTAGTCAAATGGTGGCAAGCTAAATACTACAGTGTTTGAAGGAAAATAGCACTTCATAGAAAAATAAGGAACAATCCTTGAAAGCACCACGTCTTAAAAAAAAAAAAAACTTAGGCTTTGTTTGGGATTGCTTTCTTACTACTTCTTAAAATAACTTTTTAGTACAACATTTTAAACTTTTGAGCTAAATAGCTACTTTAAGAGGCAGAAAAAAGCGAAGCCTTCCTTTGGAACAACTTTTCGTCCCTATTTTTTATCTATTTAATATATATTAAAAAATCACATAAAAAATCAGCAAAAAAATTATCTCAAAAAATACTTTATTCATGACATTCTCGTCAAAAAAATAGATAAGATATTTTCTATAATTAATTAAAAACTTGCATAAAAAGTAAGACATTCATTAAACATCAGCAAAAAATATCTTCAGTATTTCTTAAAATTTCATTTACCTTCAAATTTGAATAACGTAAACATTATTATTTTAATTTATTGTAATTAATTGCTAATCCCACATTTCCAAAATTTGGTTCTCTTGTGCAATGAACATTTCAAATTTGATGAAGAAAACATTAAATAGGGCATTAACAACGGTTCCTAAAAATAAAGAATGTCACTAAAATGTATGACATGACTGCAACTTGCTTAGGGTTTAACTATTTATGGAGAGGAAATAAATAATTCACATTAAACAAATTTAAATATTATATGATAGCATTATTTTGTGCAATTAAAAGATCTGTTTTTTTTTTTTTGTGTGTAAAATCTTGTTCTTTAAAAAACTTAAAACATACACATAATGCAAAATCGTGTGCTGAATCTTGAATGGCATTTAATTTATGAATGGGAAAATATTATTTTTATTGATCTGCTGAACTGCATCAATAACAACATGGTTTTAACCTTGGTATATTTTCAAAAAATTATCTTGATCGGGCACGAATCTCTAGGCAAAATAACCCGAAAACTTCAAAAATTAATTTTGGGATTAACTGAACTCCGAGTTCAGCGAACTTATAGTCAAACTGAGCGTCTCGGAAATACGAACTCAACGACACCAAAATCGACTCAATATGAGCCCAAATGAATCCAAATCAAGCACCCAAAGCGCTATTAAAAAGTTCAAACCACAATTTGAGTTACCAAAAGATTTCCAAATATGATGTTCTTATAGTCGAATCGAGTGGCCTGACAAGACGAATCAAACAAGCCTAAGATCACCGAATTCTAACATTATTAAGAGCTTCAAATGTCTGACGAATGGTACACGATCAAGGGATTCAAAATCAGCCGTCCATCCAACCACTCCATATTTACCCCTAATTTCTCAGATATTTACAAGTCATGCCACTCAATAATATCTATAAATTAACCCCCCATTTCTCATGAGAGGGGACGCAAGCAAGAAGAACAGAAAAAGCAAGAAGAGAAGGAAGAAGAGAAGATTACGAGGGAAGAAACTCCTCGACCACCGCCGCTGGAATTCTGCCCGACTTCTGAACAACGTCAGTTCTGCCCAACTTCCAAGGGATGCCGGAATTCCTTCTGACTTCCAAGTGACGCAGGAGTTTCACCCGAACTCTAAGTGACACAGAAGTTTTCATCGGCCGCTAATTAACGCCAGACTTCTACCCGACATCGGACCTTCGCTCGTAGCCAAGTTTCTTCCTGATGTCAGACTTCTGCATGTTGTCGGACATTCGTCGGACATCTATCTGATGCTGGATTTCTACCTGATGCCATCCTTCTGACCTTCGTCGTCAAATTATAGTCTTTCGAATCTCCGTCGCCCATCGATTACGATCATGCTAAGTTACGTCGCCCATCGACTACGGTCCTACTGACTTATGTCGCCATCCGACTATGGCCCTCCTGACTTGCGTCGCCAACCGACTATAGTCCATCGAACCTCTATCGCCCACAGATTACGGTCCTACTAACTTACGTCGCCCATCGACTACAGTCCTCCTGACTTGCGTCGCCCACCAAGTATAGTCATTCTGAACTCCGTCGCCAGCCGACTACAACTCTGCTGACTTACGTCGTCCACCGACTACAGTCCTTCCGATTTCTGTCGCCAGCCAATTACGATCCTCCTGACTTGCGTCGCCCAACGAATAGTCCTTGGGACCTCCGTCGCACGCCAACTACGGTCCTGCTGTATCAAACAGCACTACAAACATACATACAAATATTAAGAAACATTGACGATTTATTAAGTATTGAACATGCATTGTTAGCCTATTGATAAGATTGGATAGGTATCAATGGTAAAATAAATATATATTGACAAACCCAAATATGCAAAATGTTAACAAACATCAATTGACTACAAACAACTACAATTGTTTGATAAATATTAGAAAAAAAAGATTTCTACAATTCATGATTGCTCAACATTTAGAATATGACAAAAAGAAAAAAGAAATTCCTACATATTTTGAAGAGGTAATCTAAATCATGTTCGAAATTATCCTGAAATACTAAGCCTTGTTATTTATAAATTTTATCTATAATTGATCATAATCAATCATAGCCTAACCAGCAAGTTCTTTCTTATTGGGTTTCTTTTCATAACTTAAATATTAAAAATAATATATTTTTAATAGAAATGGATTTTATTCAGTCAATTTGAGTGAAGCATCCACTCGCCTTTCGGTTACAAGAATTTTGGTTTTTGGTTATATTGCGTTTTAAATGCAGAGACAAACAAATAAGCTCACTTCACATGTCGACAATCCCGTGACTGCCAGTCAGGCCATCCGTGCGAAGTTTCGACAGTATCTCACCGCCATCCCTCCTACCGTGCATTCTATCTTTCTCAAGAATAATTTTTTTTATTATAAATTAATTTGTGATAATTTCAAACAAAACTTATTACAAAAATTCCAAATTAATAAAATCAAATAAATCTTTGAACCATTTTAACAAAAAATAACCACCGAATAACCCCTTAATCCATTATACACACCGAATAAATGAACCAGGAACCAAGACCCGTGACCCACCCGATTTCAAAAAGTATGCTACAAATACAAGACAACAACCGTGTCCCACATTTAATAGACCAACAACCGGTTCAATTTCTGACTCGAGCCGCAAAAAAGACCACCTCACCCATGTGCAGGGACCATACCCCTATGCTCAAAAATTCCTCGGCGTGACCAGCCACCACGTGGTGGGACCACAGGCCAAAATTTAATTTATTAATTAAATGCTGGGTATTTATTTCTTGATTATATCGAACAAAAGAGATTATGAACCGGTCAAATACCACGAACGTATTAGAAGACTGATTGGGCCCCACCCCACGATCCCCCGCAACGAAGAAACCTCCCGCTAATTTCTAAAAAGAACGAGACGACACGTTAATTAGATTCCGTCTTCCCAAATCCACTACAGATACCAACACTAAACTACAGCAAAACATTACTGATTAACTTTGGCAAATTTCAATACCATTCAATGCTACATATTACAATACTAGAAAAATGAAAATTAGTTATAAAATATCCATAAGAAACAAAGGATATATGTTTCCTTTTTATTCCTTATAGGCTAAGCTAAAGCGGTGCTGGAGGTAATTTCTTTTTTTGCAGAAGGGCCCCAAAATATAAGGCTGCAAAAAAGTGAAAGTGAGTAGGGGGGAAACGGTGAACTAAATTTTATTACAGGAATGCCCATGGACACTTTCTTCTCCGACGCACCGAAAGAAAGGGCTTTATTGTTTTTCCACCATGCTTCTTCTGTGCAGAAGCGGTCGAATCAGCGAAACCGTAACTGATTCTTCTTGCCTGCCGGATCCCAACTTCAACAAAACCCCAATCCAAAAATCCATAGAAGTAACCTAATACTAAACTGTTAATTTGAATCTTTTACTTCAAAACATTGCATTTTCAAACTACTAAGGCTAACTGCAAATCTACTGATTGATTAGTTGGATCAATAAGTCCACTCCTGCGGAAGCCGGATTTCGTGGCCGGAGACGATGGCGGGAGGCGGATGGTGGTAGTGGGCTTTCTGAGCAGGAATGGGAGTGCTGCCGCGGTTAGAAACCATTTCTGAGAAAAATCAAGAAAGTTAGATTTAGGTAAAACAAACAAAGGAAATAAAAAAGTCGTGAAGAAGACACTTACCAGGGTCGATGGATATGTATCCTGGATAGCGAGGATGTACTGCTGTGTCTTCGAGGTTTAGGCTGAGCGCCTGAACAACCTTTGCCGGGAGGAGAACTGTTGAACAAACTGAAAAAACCAAGATGACTCAGTGGCAGAAGATAAATCAAACAAATGATTCAAAATAACAATGATTAAAAATTTACCTGGCTTCTTTCGACTTTCGTTGTGTGTGCCGGCCCTCCGAGGAAGGAACACTCCGGTGCCTGTGGATTCACGCCGGGTTCCTGGGCTGTTAAGAAAGACGGCCCTCATCCCTGAACCTTGTTGCCGCTGAAGAGGCGGCCAAGCAGAAGCAGCCAAGCCAATGTTTCGGTTATTTCTAGTTGTTCTGTTCTGCCTGCTCCAGGCAGCCGAAACTTGCTGCTTGATCAATTGTTGTTGCTTTAGCTGGAAAAACTGTTGAAGAGATATAACAATGAACATATCAATGGCGGACTCAACCCACTATCATCGTTCATAAATGTTGAAAGATGGGGGCAGAAATTCAACCTGCGCTGCTTGAAGTTGTTGCTGAGCAAGGATTTGATTGTAGGATCTGTAAAAGGTTGCTGGATCTTCCACAAAGGTTGGAGGCTTTTTAGGTGGGATGAGAAGACCCCGACCATTAACCCTTTGTTCGTTCTGTTTCATCCTCCCAACCTGCCCTGCTGCCGCATAAAGAATATCCCACGCGTCGTCCTTCCTCTGCTCAAGAGGAGTCGACGGCGGTGAAGAAACCTGTGATGGCCCATTCGGACTGCCTTCATTCGACGCCGACCAGATTCCGGAGTCGCAGAGGGTGGACTGCGGTGATGTAGCCATGACCTGAAACAAGATTATTAGTTTACCTCCATAAAATCGTCAATCAATCATAAAAGTGCCGTAATAAAAAGCAGACTGCACTAAAAACACACCTTAGCATTTGAAGCATAGGTTAACTTCTCATCACCAAGGAAGGAGTGCGCCATCTGCCAAGTTAAAGCCGCGATGTAGTCCTCCTCTTCGCTCTCGGACTCCAAACAATCCCCACCGAACGAACCCTTGTTCCTAGTTCCCACTGGTGCTCCTCTGCTCTCTTTGAAGAAGAAGTCCTCGTCGAGAAACTCCGCTGGAAGCCAGAACTCTGCCTCTTCCAGTTTATCAGCCATGTTCGCTCCGCCGAAGACAACGCAAACAGGGCAGAAGTAGAAAAAAGAAGAGGGCCGAAGCAAGTCAAAAGTCCAGTTTGCTCCTGGTTGGCAAAGAGATAATAATTCTCACGCCTCCCTTGAGCCCTCCCTCTCTCTCTTCCCGTGCTCCACTCGTTCGATTCCGAAACAGAGGAAGGAAAGCAAGAGAAGATAGAATATCGAGAATGTCAAAGCGCCTCGAGTACTCAAGCAAGGCGATGGTCGTCAAATGGGCTTTTATCGGAGGGGTGCAAATAATTAATTTCGATAAAAGAATAAAAAATTTAAATATATTCAAAAATATTTAAAAAAAAACATTTGCAAACGAAGCAGAAAGAAAACCCTAACCCTAAATTGTTCTCTCCCGGCCGTAGTGGTTGGAGCTCTGGCCAACCCACCTGCCAGCCTCTTTCCATTTGGTTTGAATCCTAATTATATTTATTTAATAATAATTTTTTAATAAACACCGTTAAACCAAAATTTTGTAATTTTGTATTTGTGCTAAAGCAGGCAGTCCGTAGCCGGTTGATTAAAACGATGATGCCGAGCCATTCAATATTAAGGGCAACTTTGTAATTGTGCAACTGAAGTTCTCACTAATAATTGGCCCTCAAGATTTCATCGTGGTAAGAATTGAGGGTAATTGTCCGTTTCCTAGGGGTAAAATAGTCACATTAATTAAGGCCACGAAATCCCTACGGCGGGAAAAAGATCTGAATCTTCGTAACAGAGCCGGGCTGTCATGTGCCTGTCGGGTAGAATGTCCCTACCGTCACCTCTTTTCCTTTTCCAGCCATGAAAATACTTAAAATCGCATAATTGCCCTCGCAGTCCGCCGTATATCCCGCTCCACTAACTTCATGCGGGATCCAGTTACCACGACGTGCGATTACCGCTATGTATTTAATTTCATTTTTAATTTACAATTTATGGATAACGGTGACCACACTCCGGATTTGGAATCTGAATCTCCTAGTGACGTGGCGGTTACAGGGATCCAAAAAAAGATAACCGTCCCCCTCTCCGTCTATTTTAACGACCATCGCTTTCTATCATATCTTCACGTCCACGATGACGGCGTTGGTTGACGGCTAACCGCCGGCAACGACGATAAATTCTAATATTTAAAAAAAAATTTGAAATCTAAAAATTAGTCCATGTAGGCGAAGACGTGCATGATGGCCGAAACAGAGAGGACAGCGAATAATTAATTTAACACGAAAATTGAAATTTTTTTTTAAAAAAAAAATTTAAAAGTGGCGGATTTAATGGTTGGAAAAAACCGGATTTGATAAAAGTGCCTCGGATGCCAACTTCGGTCTTTTTTCGGGTTTCCCGCCGAAAGCAACGGTTACTTTCGGCTTCTCAGGCCGGGGTTCGAAATTTGAACCACATCAAGCCGGGCCCATCGGACGGTCCTGAGTCCCCGTAAATTTTCGCGCCAATCGAACTATAGTGGGGATTAGCTGTACTCCAGTAGCCCCCACCGTCTTCCAACCGATAAGGCCAAACGACGCGAGGTGCACCTTCGTCGAATCAAACGGCTGATATTTCATCCCGCCTTTTAATGAACGATCTTGATTTGATGGGCCATTGCGTTAAGGCGGTGGGGTCACGGCGTCATCAAATCACCCCCTGGCCCGTTCTTACATGCTTCTGGCCCGCCCAAAAGATCGCTTAGTCTCTACTTCATTTTATGTAAACCTCAAATTTGGACCAGAAGTTAACCAAACCATTTATGGTTCAGCCACCTGGATGGTCACACATAAGGCTACACAGCTTCTCCGCTACATGTAAACAGCTGTGGCTCAATTAATTATTCCGGGGCTTTGAGTAAGGCTTAAGTTTGAATTATGCAATGTTATATGATTTTAACTTTCTCTTTTCGTTTTTTTTTTTTTTTTTAATGATTTAGGTGTGTGTTGCTGATGGGATTTATATGTAGAAGGAAGTAATGTGAAATAGGTTAGCTAACACTATCTGTTATCCGTGCATTAGGTGATTAGCAATTCGCTTTGTAAAGACTGTGGGAACTACCTTCATTTATTGAATATATTTTTCGGAAATTATGAAAAAAGAAAAAAAGAGTGAGCTGGCCAGCGTTAGGTGCGCCAACTATTTAATGATTGCGGGCTTGTGCTGAGAAGAGAAGGTTCGAGCGAGCATTACATGCATCGTGCCATCGTGAACCTGGTCTTCCATTTATCAAGCCTGGAACGTGGGTTCAGCGTTGCAAGATAATAATTATTTTAACAAAGTGAGCTATAAATGAGTGAGCCAGTTTGATAAATCAAGGCCGTTGGATCTTACTAGACGAACGATGGCTGATGTCCGCAGTTTGGTCGGCATTTTTGTTGAGTCGGTGATCATATAAGTAGGAAACATTTGGGGACCTAAAGCTTCTCGTGTTTTGCAGGGTTGAGTAAGGCCAACTGCACGTGGGGCTTGAGTCCCATAATTATCTTTCCTAGTAAATTGTGAGTAAAATCTAGTTCAGTCCGCTAATTTGCCAACTTTAGTTGATTTAGATAAAGGCTTGGTTTGGGACGGTTTTCTTACTATTTTCTAAAGTAATTTTTTAGTATTAAAATTTTAATTTTTGAACTAAAGAACTGCTTGAAAAAATAGTAAGAAAGCCGTCCCAAACGAAGCCTAAATAACTGCCCAAGCCAAGACAAATAATCTTTTATATATGTGAACTTAAAGTTGATCTTCTCAATAACCAGAGAAGATAGAACTACAAAATTGAGAGTACTTGTTTGATCTTTTATAGTTGCAATGGATATTGTGAAAGCAATGGTCGTGGGAGGATGACAATCAAATGATGGTTGTTAGATAATAGTGGTCAAATGATGATGGTATAATGATGATAGTTGAATAATGATTTTAAAATTCGAAAATAAAAATTATTTTAAAATATAAAATTTTGAATTTATGTTTGAAATGGAGAACTTCGACGTTATATTTATGAACACTGTGATGCTAGGCCACTAATAATGTTTTTTCTATATTTTTTATTCTAAATAGCATTGCTATCAACCCATCGCCTCCCTCACTTTGCATGGTTGGTCTAGAAGAATCGAGAGAAGAAGATGGAGAGAAGGGTGAGGAAGTATAGGGACAAGGAGAGAGAGCTCATTTCTGATCATTTTCATCCATCATTCTTGTTATAAAATTTGTTCATTACTTTATGCTTACAACAAAATCCATCTTCTTTCTCAAGCTAAATGTGGATGGAAAATTCAATTTGATTCAAGCTTATAACGGAGCTAAAGTCATATCGAAGTTGTTAAAATAAGTCCAACTTAAAATTCAATGCTATAATAAAGGACATAAAAAATATCCTCTAATTAAATTATTACATAAAGAATACAACTATTATAAAATATTTATGGTAAAAGCCTTAAGATGTGATGGTTAGCCAATATGGATAACATATTGTATTATGATTATGATCAATACTCATATGTTCCTCACACAAACATGTATATGAGCTTTGAACCATACTTGATGTATATGATAGAGAAAAAATTCCTCTCTCAACCGCAATTGATCTAAAATTAGTTACTCAGTCTCAGTCAACATCCATGACGAGCTTTTCAAATCCCATAATTGTTAATAAGGATCCTCTAATCAAATTGAGTTTACTATCTCCAATATCAGCTGATATGATAGATAATCATAAGATTGTAAATATACTACAAAAAATATTATTTCATGTAATTGTTATGGTGGTTGCAACATTCTATAAGTTGGACCCATAGTTTGTAGAAGACAGTCTTTTTTGCTTCAAGATGATGAAACATGATATTGCATCTAATTTATTTTTCAACATAGTATAATTTGACTATTATATAATGCTTGCAGCAGTTTTTGTTCAATAAAATTTATAGATATCTATGTCACATCACTATTTCAATTTTTAAAATTCTTACAATATTATTAAATAATTATTAAAAATGATTTTTATAATGATTTTTTTTTTTTGTTTTCCTCAACCTGAGGTCTTCATCCATGGCTGTGCAATGTGGGACACAACAAAAAGGGGGAAAAAAAAAAAAAAAAAAAAAAAAAGGCAAACATCCAAAGGAATAATATTGTAAGAGCAAAGTAGACACAAAAGCAACTTGTATTAATGAAAATTTATATGATCAATATAGACATCTTATCTTATAAATAGGAACCAACACTTCCAAGTAATCTGAACAGCTAGCACATGCTGTTGTTCTGTCGCAAGGCTCTCTGATGCAGACAGATATATGAGCTTTCATCTCTTCTTCTCCACAGTGTTTATTTCCTAATTAATACTAACAAGGCCCCCACATCCTCATACATGCATATGAACATAGCTTCTCCCCACTAACCTTATTTAGATCTTAATTAAGATCTTCTTCTTTCTCATGTACTCTTCAGCACATGATACACAGCATTATCACCTATTCTTTATTAGGATCAATTCGGTGCACATTATTTTTGTAGAAGCTTTCTATAAGATGTGGTTCAATGAGTTTTTTGATTAATTTTTGGAGAAAAAATTGAAGGGATTTGGGCTTTGTTTGGGATGGCTTTCTTATTATTTCTTAAAACAGCTTTCTAACATAAAAATCAATTTTTTTTTACTAGAAACTAGAAAGATGTTTTAAGAATCATTAAAACAGAAAAGGAGTTTTAAGAATCAGATCAGAAAATTTCTGGGGTTTGGGTGGTCAACCTGAGTTCGAATCGAGTTGGGTTCAGGTTAGGGATTACAACCCGTTTGTAAAACCGGGTTGGGTTTTGGTTGACCCAAAAATCCAAAATCAACCCGGTTTGACCCGTTTTTAATTAATTTAGGAGGGTTTTAAAAGATTGTTATGAAACAAATAAAGCTATTTCTAAAATAAAAATAAATCATGTTGTTGAAATTGAATTAAACTTGATTTATTTTAAATTGATTGAAATAAATCATATCTTAATTTGGTTTAGGTTTAAATAAATCGAATTAAAGAAAAAATTTGCAATAAAACATACTCGAAGCGGGTTGGGTTCATACCTGAAGCGAGTCGGGTTTGGATCCAAAAAATAAAAAAAACATGTCTTGTTCAGGTCGGATCGAAAAGTGCCGAGTTAGTTCAGGTTTGGACCCAAGCCCGACCAATGACCCAACTTTGACAGTCCTACCTAGATTTGAAAAAAACCATAATTATAATTTCTAGTTGATCATTGCATTTTCATTGTTGTTGTTGCATGCTAGAATATACGCAAC